GATCCCCAGGACCCCTGGGACCCCCGGGACCCCCAGGACCCCCAGGACCCCGACTCACACCCCACTGCCCCCAGCAGAGCATCACTCCACCCAGGACCTTCACTCCTTTGCAGAGATGAGCCATTGCTCATCCAACAGCGCAGAGGGTGGGGTAAGGGGGTCCCTCTCATTTCAGGGCCACCCTGGAAGCCTCCCCAATTTCAGGAGGCAAAAGACACCCCTGGGGGGATGACACCATTGAAGCAAACACCTGACAGAGACCTGCTGCAAACCCCAGATCCCCCAATTCCACCTCGACCAGCTCGGTCAAAGGATAAAACCAGTGACAGGAACTGTGTGCCTCATCCCAGCTCTTCAGCTGTGGCACCCACCCCCTGTCCCCATGACCCCACCAGCCCCAATGCTCTGCACAGGCAGAGAAGGTGCTGGAAGCCCACAGGGAGCCCTCTTGGGCCTAACTCAGAGAGCACCAGAATCCCCAGCAGTAGTTCTCCATCCCATCCTGACTGCAGAGCTGGCACCAAACAGGACACGGAGCTGTAACCAGCAGAAGGAAACTGCCAAAGTGGCACCCACAGAGACACCTCTGGGTTAGGAGCTTTTGCTTGGTCACTTTTTGGGGTGGGACTCAGTCATTTTTTTGGGGTGGGACCAAAGGAAGCAAGAACAGCCATCCCAAAACCTGCTGCACAGGCAGCACCTCCACTCCTCCCTGTATCCCTTCTCCTCATATCTGCACACCAAAAAAACTAATAAACTTGTTAATAATAATATAAAAGAAAAGGCAACGACCTGTGGAAAGCTGCCTCCTCCCCAATTTCACCCCCCACAGCCTGGGGACATCAGGGCAGTCACAAGGAATTGGGGATGGGGGTCCTGAGGGGAGCGGGCACTCACGGTGCAGACTCAGGGAGATGTTGATGGACCGTTCCTCCACAAAACCCTTCAGGTTGGGGATCTTGGCGCACTTGAGGATGGTCTGGGAGGCACTGTCACCCACGTGGACCCAGCACACCGTGTCCTCCACGTAGTTGAAGTCCATGGCCGTGGTCTGCTTGGCACTGGTGGGGGTGATGTTGGGCACGGGGGCTCCGCTCAGGTACGTGGCCAGGATGTTCTGGGAGTTGGCGATGAGCAGCACGGGAGGGCGATCCACGGGCTCTGGGGGCAAGGAGGGGACAGTGGGGTCAGGGCACAACTCAATCCCGTGGCTGTGACCCCAGGGAAGAGCCCAGAGCAGGGCCATGGTCTGCAGAGCTGCCCCGAAGCACCACGCTCCCCTTGCCCAGGCTCTCACCGTTCTTGGCTTTGCAGGATCTGTTGTCGGGCTGCAGGAGATACCCCTCGACACAGCTGCACGTGTAGGAGCCCTCTGTGTTGGTGCATGTCTGGCTGCAGGTCCCATACACGGTGCATTCATCAAAATCTGGGAAAGACAGGAAAAATCCCAAGGTTTGGACCAGAAAAAAACCCTCCTTCACAGCCTGAAGAGGGAATGAAGCTCCCCAGTTTCTCCAAGGTGGAGCTGGAGAAGAAGGGATGATTCCTCAAAGGGACCCTCACATCAGCCTGCCAAGGAATCCAAGGAACCCCACAACTTTCTGAGGAGCCAAAGGGACCCTCACATCAGCCTCTAGAGGAACTGAAGGGACCCTCACATCAGCCTCCCAAGGAATCAAAGGGACCCTCCTTCCAAGGCCACTCCATGAGCAGGCAGGCAGCCTCTGCAGCAGCACAACCCCTGCCTGGCCACTGAGCCTCCCCCCAGCTCTGCACCTCCATTCCCACTCCAAATCCCTCTAATCTCCAGCCCCCAGCTCGGCTGCTCTTTCTTCTGGCAGATGAAAGCGATGTATCCCCCAGAGCTCCACGCCAGAGCTGGGAATGGTCCCTTCCACCACATGAAAGGGATGGAGCCATCACAATCTCTCACTTCCAGATTTGCTTCCATCACACTGATGCCATCAATCCTCACCGTGACCCTCTCCTATTTCCCCATCCTCTCTGAGCCAGGATGCCAGGAGCATGCGCCAGCCCCTGACTCTGTACACAAAGACAAAGCTTTTTCCTTGCTCCCAGTATTCCTCACGCAGGATTTTTCCCACAGCAGAGGGAATCCTGTCCCATTCCATTCCATCCCGTTCCATCTCATTCCATTCCATTCCATTCCATTCCATTCCATTCCATTCCATTCCATTCCATTCCATTCCATCCCATCCCATCCCATCCCATCCCATCCCACCTGCCCCGTGCCTGCCCAGTCCCTTTCCCACGTGGCCGAGCCCCTGCTCTGCTGCAGGACGGTGCCACATCCCCGAGGAGCCCCGGTCCACAGCGTGGAGCGGGGGCTCTGCCCACCCCAGACCCACCTCTGCAGCTCCTCCGGTCCTCGGCCAGCTGGAAGGAGTGGTTGCAGTAGCAGACGGGGCCGGACACGGTCGGTGCACAGTGGTGCTGGCAGCCCAGTGCCGAGCAGTTGGCCAATTGTTCTGCAGGGACAGGGAAGATGGAAGAGAGAGGATGTCACCCAGGAAGGAACAGGATGGTCACCAAGGACCAAGGGTTGGGTGAGCAGGACCGCCAGACACCCCACCAGGATTTGCTGGGAAATTTCACACTGCTCCCACCTCTCCAGAGAGGAGAGAAGGACTCAGCCCCCTCAGCAGAGGGAGGGAGGACATGTGGGATCCACGGCTGCTCCAGGGAGGGGGCTCTGAGCAGCCCCTGCCATCCCCAGTGCTGCTGACTGTGCCACTTGTAGGGGTGGCTGAGATCTGGCACCCCTTGTGCAGGGAGGGGATGCAGGTCCAGGGCATCCTGAGGGATGTGGATTCATTAGAGAGCCCAGAGCTCCCCTCCTGTCCAAGCCTGGAGTGCTCAGAGGGGCCAGTGTGGGGGTTCAGCACCAGGGTTCCATTAGCACCCCCAGGATGTCTGCAAGGGCAGCAGAGCATCCCCAAATCCCTGGGGGAGCAGGATAGGGGCAGCAATGGTCCAGCAGCCAGAGCAGGAACAGGGGTTGGGGTGATTTGGGGTGATGACTCAGGGTGACAGCTTGAGCTGATGGTTTGGGGTGATGTCTCAGTGTGACAGCTCGGGGTGACAGCTCACCTGCCCAAACCTGGGGCAGTGGCAGGCTGGGACTCGCAAGCAGCTGCGAGGAAATGAGGAAATGCCTCCCTGGGGCGGCACCGGCCGCGGGCAGGGGGGACTCGGCATCCGGCTCAAGCATCACCGAGGGCTGGCGGCCCCAGCGTGCCCAAACCTGTGAGCACCAGGTGCCCAAAGCCCTGAGCACCAGGTGCCCAAAGCCCTGAGCAGCTGCCCCAACACGGCTCACGTGGCTCATGTGCTGCCCGGCCGTGAAAAATCAGATCCCACTCAAGTAACGCGAACTCTTACTGAAATATTCATTCTCAGCTCAGGCACAGCTGCAGGAGCTGCCCCGGGCTGCTCCCGTGGGATCCAAGCAGCAGAGAGGAGCTGGTTCCCAGCAGGGAGCCCTTTGGGGCCAGGGGTCTTGGTGGAGCGGGACAGGAGCCCCCCACCCCAGGGAGGGAAGGATGGGGAGCACAGAGGCTCTGGAGCGCAGGGTCAGCCCAGGACACACGTTTCTGAGCGATTAATCTGCACAGCAGCACGCTGGTTTAGGGAGTTTTCCAGCAGGATTATCCATGGGGACAGGCCAGGAGGGGGGACAAAGCTCCTGGAAATTAGGAAAAAACCACAGCGGTATCTCTTATCTGGACCAGAACCCCAGGCCTGGAGCTTTTAAACCCAGGAGACAATGCAGTTATTTCATGGCTGCAGGCTCAGGAATGATGGGCATTTCACTTCCAAGCGGCTCTGGATAATCTCTGGATCTGTGACCGTGCTGAGCTGAGCGTGGTGGGGCTCACACTCCACAGGAGAAACCAGGGACCTCAGTGTTGGGGAGTATCCCATGGGGCAGCCCCCCCTTTCCTGGGACCGTGTGCCCCCCAAACCTACCCCGGCAGTGCGGCCCCTCGTCGGAGCCGTCGAAGCAGTCGTGGAGGCCATTGCAGAGTTTGCTCATGTGGATGCAGAGCTCGGTGCCCAGGCAGTTGTGCTCGTTGGGTTGGCAGCGGGACACTTTGCTCTGGGGACCTGCAGGGCACCAAAGGGGACAAGGGTCAGCACAGGGACCGTGACCCCCCCGGGTGCCAACACCCTCCTTGTCCCGAGGCCGTGGCACAGGCAGGTTCATGGGGGGCCCCTCCGAGCCCGGCACAAGGAGACTTAATCTCTATTATTAACTGGAAAAATTACAAAGGAAGCCAGGCTTTATTTTTAAGCTCCTCTGAAAAGAAGCGAGGCATGGAGACAAACAACAAACACACCATAAATCCATTAACAGCCTGAAACCCCGGGAAAAGCTCCTGCAACGGCTTCACCCCGGGCTGGGGGTGGCTGCAGGGGTGACAAGGAGCCCTGGCACAGCCCCTGCAAATCCTGACCCCCTCCATGGGGTCTCCTCCTCTCCCTGCCCCAAATCCACCTTTCAAGGCTGAACACACACAGCGTTTCACCAGAGCTACCAAGGCATCTCTGCCCAGCCAAAACACTAAAATCCCATTTTCCAGGGGCACTTCATGCCTCCCACTCCCCTCAGGGAGGCAGAAATAGCTCCGTGGATCCCCCCAGGCCCCCAGTGAGCAGCAAGAAGGGCACAGCACACACCGTGTCCAGGCACGGTCCCATTTTAGCCCAGTCACCTTCACCAGAGACTCCAGCAGAGGAGTTTGCCCTAAATAAGCTCCAGCTCTCCTTGGAGAGGAGCGTTACATCACACACAGAGCTCCGTGTGCCGGCACATCCTCATCCCACACAGCTCCAGACACCTCTGAGGGACACTGGTGGTGATCCCACCGTGACCCTTGGGCTCCCAGGAGGGGATAAAAGCCCTTGGAAGCACTTGGAGCTATGGGAAGGGCACCACAAAGCCCAGGGTGTGTGACATCCACCCTCCCAAGCACACCAAGCAGGATCCTCAACACATCCCAGCCAAAACTTCCCTGTCCAGTGTGTCCATCCTGGCCAGTGACCCCCATTCCTGCTCAAGGGATGCCTGGGAAACAGGAATCTGACAGGCTCCAGGTGCCAGATCGCTCCCCTGGCTCTCCATCACATCCCAGTACGCTCCCAGTGAGGCTGGCCTGGCACTGCGGTGATGGGATCTGCACGCCCAGGCTCTGCCACAGCCAGCAGGGATCTGAGCTTCCCCTCTTCCCCAGCCCCAGGGCACCCAGCAGATGATTCCTGGGAGAATTTCTTACCGGGTGCCACTGCACAGATTTATTTTTGCGGAGGGTGGGCCCCCCGTAATTGCAAATTATGGGTTAATTAAGTAACATCAATATATGAACCAGAAGAATGGAGGGGCTGAAGTGAAGAGCCCAATTCATCAGTCAGAACTGCTCTGCCGTGTCCATTATTCCCTGCAAAGAGCCTGGATCAAACCACTTATCCCAAACAGGCCAGGATTAATCCACAAGCCACTTTGTTTGCTTTTGACCGTGTTGGCGCTAATAAATGAGCCAATTTATTACATGTGACAAGCTTGTGGTACACCCCAAGGAGCCGAATTAGATAGGAATGTTTAACCTCGAAAAACCACTCAGAAAAAAAAAAAAAAAAGGAAAGAAGAAAAGCAATTCTTCCTCCTGCAGTTGATTTGGCAACAGCCCAGGGAGACGCAGATGGGGGAACACAATGAGGAAAGAGGATGGAGGAGCAGGGGTGGGATGGTCCCACTTGTCCTGTCAGGATGGACACGGATGGCAGCACTGAGGGCCTCTGGGTCACTCCTGAACTCATCAGGACCGCGCCAACAGCAGATCCAGCACAGCAAGATGAGGGATCTGAGGCCTCCTGAACGCTCAGATCAAAGGATGGACCAGCCAGGCACCGGCCAAAGCTGAGCCACGGCAAATTCCTTCCTCAGAGCCCCTCATCTTTGATCTCCAACAGGATGGACACTCTTCTCCAAGTGTTTTCCTCCCAGGAAAGCTCCGTGGAGCAAAAAACTGACTGTGCAAGAACCAGGCAGGAGCCACTCACACCAAATGAGCAGCACTGGGGACAGGAAGGGACCGGCTTCAACCTGAGCAAAGCCAGGAACACTTCAAAGGATTCCCCAGAGAGGAAAACCTGGCACGTGCCTGACAGCATTCCAAGAGGCTCGGGCAGGAGAACATCGGTGCCACGCAAACACCGCGGCACCAAAGGGCTCCGGAGCCTCGGCAGGAGCTGCGCTCGCAGCCCGGCTCGAACGCGGATTAAAGCAGAGTAATAAAAGTCATTCTCTCCCTGCCAGAGAGATAAGGGGGATGAGAGGCTGCTGGAAGCCCCGGTGCTGGAGTGGCGTGAGAAAAGCCAGCCTGGCAATCCCGGAGATAGCGGGGGCCGTGCTGACAGGTCGGGCTCCACAGGAACGAGCAGGAGCAGGAGGGAGGCTCCACTCATCCCCTGGCCCATGGCAACGGCACAGATGTGCCCTGGCACCCCAACCTCTGTGTCCTGGGGGGCACAGCATCCCCCTGACTCCTTTCCAGTGTCTAGGGGTGCAAAGTGGGAACTGGAGGTGGGCAGAGCCACTCAGGAAGGTGCAGCCCCTCCAGGTCTCCAGAGATCAGCTGGGGAGGGAACTGCTCCTGAAGAACTGGGAGATTCCAAAGTTTGGGGTCTGTGGTGGTGATGGAAACGCACAGACTCAGTCCCATGGTGGTGAGGAGAGAGGAGATGCCAGGCTTTGGTCTGTGTCTCACAGAGGCTCCCACCTCCCTGTCCTGTCCCTGCCAAGCGTGTTCCGAGGGGCACAGGGGCAGCGAGGGTCCCGTGTCCTCCAGGGATGAGCCCTCAGGGGGTTTGGACCAACCCCAAGAGTCTTCCAACATCCATGACCTCCACACAGAGGTGCATGCACAGCACCTGCTCCTGGCACCAGACCCCTCACCAGCCCCAGGGGAGAGAGAGGAAGAAGGTGAAGAGGGAAGAGCATCCAAGGGATCCGTGCTCCGGTCACCTGCCCACGTGGATCGAGCAGGGATGCACGCGGCAAGCGGAACATGCCAATCAGGATGGATTTCTTCCAGCCTCCGAGTCCTCCTGCTGTAATTTTCCAGGGCTGCTGATTGACTGGAGCCCATCCCAGCCCCCCATCCCTCCCACGGAGGGGCCGTTGCATCATTTTGCCTTAAGGAATAAACAAACCCAAAGCCAAACCAGAAACTGCTCTGGAGGAGACGATTCTGCCAAGCACAGCATGAAGTGGGAATCTGGGAGGGAGAGCTGGGACAGGGGACGAGGAAATTCTGCTGGGCCCCGTGGTGGATGTCCTGTGGCCCAAAATCCTGGGACATGGGGACAGCTGGGTCCTTGCTCCAGCCTGGCCAGAACAGAGCTCCTGGCATAGCTGCCACCCCTGGTGTCACCACAGCTCTGACCCCTCTGCAGACACCCCCACATTCCCGTCCCTACACCTCACCTACCCCAGCCCAGCTCTGTTTCCTTCCAGAGAGGCTCCACCACCCCCAAAACACATCTGGGACAGCGATGTCGCCTTTCCAGCAGCTCCCAGGACTCCCAGAGATCTCCTTCCCTCACTCCCCATGCCCAGGAGTACCGAGGTGCTGAGGACGGGGTGACACTGCTGTCGAGTGTTCCTTCCTCATGCACATCCATTTCGATGGAAACAAACACAAATGAGTGATTCCCCATTCCCAGGAGGCTGGTTTGGAACCATGGACGGAGGGATGGACGGACAGACGGACGGATGGATGATGGATGGATGGATGGATGATGGATGGATGGATGGATGGATGGATGATGGATGGATGGATGGATGGATGGATGGATGGATGATGGATGGATGATGGATGGATGGATGATGGATGGATGATGGATGGATGGATGGATGGATGATGGATGGATGGATGATGGATGATGGATGGATGGATGATGGATGGATGGATGGATGGATGATGGATGGATGGATGGACGGATGTACAGACAGACAGAATGGACATCCCCCACCCCGAGGAGCTGCAAGGAGAGCTGAGGTAGAACGTTGTGCACCAGCCTCTCGGTGCCCTGGAACACCCATGGAGCGATGGAGCAAACCCAGAGAAGAGGATTAGGAAGGAAAAGCATACATACATATCTCGGGAGATTCATCCGAGCCATCCGGACAATCCTTCTCCCCGTCACAGCGCCAGCCCTTAGATATGCACGTAATCTGATCTTTGCATGCAAACTGTTTGGGGCTACAAGTCTTCGGTGCTGGATGAGAAAAGAAATAACGATAATAAACAACATCAGTTTCTTCCCAAGGACAAGTTGTTTCAAAAGAAAAATCAAATTTCAATTAAAGGCCGAGATTGGTTTGGGGTTTTGTGTTTGGGGGGTGCGTGGGGATGATTTCTTTCCTATGGCTTGGCAGAAGTTTGAGCCTGGCACCGGATCCATCAAGCCTGCCCCTAAGGAAAGGAGGAAATTTAAGCTGGAGCATTAATTACACCGGGAGAAAACAGGAGTCGAGCGCTGTGATGCACTCGCAGATTTTAAAGATCATTTAACTTGGATGAATTAGCTCCTGGGAGCCAGAGGCGCTTCGTTTTCTGTGCTAGGCAAGAGAAAAACAGGGAAAAAACAAGAAATTCCAAATGAGAACAAATTAAAAAGTAATGCTTTTTTAAATCATGAGGACAACAGCGGGATGAGGATCCATCCATCCCATGTCCAAGACCCCAGGGCAGCTCAGGGAAGGGTGAGCCCACATTTCTGACCGGACACACGGGGAGGGAAAATGGACAGAGTGAAAAGCAACAGGAAAAGCCAAAATGCAGAGTCTGGGGAGGGAGAAAGGCTGGGAAGAGCCTCCTGTCATGGGGGGGTCGCTGAAATGGGTGGGGACATTGCACCCCAACAAAGGGAGAGGCTGAAATGGGGGGGGTCACTGAAATGGGGGGG